GGCTGCCGGAGCCTCGTTCCGGACCGACCAACCGACCCACTTCCCTTCTCCCGAAGCCTCGCTGTCAGCGGGCGAGCGGGTGGTCCGACCTGCAACCACGGCAACCGAGCGGGTACGGGCTCGCGTCGCGAGCTGAGCGCTCCGAACCAATGAAAACCCTTCCAGCCCAAGCCCCTCCCTCCAGCCGGGCAATAGCATGGGCTTCCGGCAGTGTGACTGACGGACATAAAAACCAATCATATTTTGGCAGTACCCAAGTTCTAGCTCTACGTCTCTACACGGGAGCCAATAAAATATATTTGAAACACTATTTTTTTCCATTTCCTCCGTCGCCGCACGGGAAAGGTAATGGGCAGATGCTTTAGCCAATCACATTAAGATGCTCTGCAGCCAATCGCGAAGGAAAGTCAAGAAACCAAACTTTAGGGAGAGGTAAATATGTATATCTTTTAAATCAATGAACATGAAAAAAAATAAAAGAAAAGAATTTCCCACAATAGCACAGTGTAAGTAGGAAAACGAAGATATGTTAAAATGATGGCCTATCACCACGAACCAAGGAGTGATAGTTTCTAAATGCGATAGATTCCTTTATTCTGGATTCTCTCCGTAACCCCCGCGGTGATCACTGATTTACAAAGAATTTTAATTCAACTTAGTTACACCGGAGCGACGCTTCAGTCCGAGAACCAGTCACTGAGCCAGGTAACTGTGTTAGGTTCTGGAGGCAGGGTCAGACTCCATTCCCGCTGACATACAGTCCTATGGGAGAAGTCAGAGCTGGAAACAGGAAAATATTCCGCAAACAGGTGATGAGTTTAGCAATAGTGCAACTGGGTGCACTGTTTTGTAAGAATTTTCACAGCCCTACACCAGAGGAAAGGGTGAAGATAGGGGGTATATAAAATGGAGTCACTTTAACCAAGCTGCTAAAATTATTAACATTATGAAGGTTGAGGGTGAGGAAAGACTATTCTTGTTCTAACTAGCCTGGTAACTTACTCTTTTAACTTTCCAGTCCTGTGTCAAGTCCTGGACATCCATCTGGACATGCACCAGGCCTCCATATAACCCTCTGATTACCCCAGGACTCACGTATCCGGACTTTGTGACATCTGACTAATAACTCTCCTGGACCAGTCCTAGGGCTAAGAATACAGGGCTGCTAATTCTCAAGAATGTCCTTTTTACTATAAGAACTTTTCTTTCTTCTCTGGAACACTTCTGGGGTTTTGCCTAGCTCCGTTTCCAGTTTGTGTATTCTAAGATCCTTGAATAAACCTTTATCTTCATTTCTAGCCAAAGCCTCCAGACTCTCTTAAGTTTGTTCAACATACCTACAAACCTTTCTGTAAGGTGGACAAAGAGGGCCATCCCTATTTATAGGGGAGGAGCCGAAACCAGAGAGAAAAGGGAATTGTTCATCGACGTCCAGCTTTCTTGGGACTAGGGCTGTGTCCAGGCAAATGTTCTTCCCTCTTATTCAACCCAGTTGAATTTACAATGCTCTCAGAACACCATTGGGAGGTTTAACACTGCACCACTTGTAGCTAGAAGAAAACAAAGGAAAGAAATAAACATTGCACATGTACCACTTACCAAGTGCTTTCTATATATTATACCATTTAGTTCTCCCTCCCAAGGGCATTAGAAGGTAGATATTATTATACCCATTTGCAAATCAGTAAATTGAGGCCCTGAGATTTATGAATTGTCCAAAGTACAAGGCTAGAATGTTGAAGAACTGGGATTTGAACCTTGAAAAGTCCTCTCCATCATACTACCATTTTTGAAGAACCTGCTGGAAACTTGCTTAAACCAAAGACATCTGGGTATTTAAGCCTCATGCTTGCTGAATGTACCCTGAAATAACTATTATTTATCCCTCTTTTTTTTCCATGTAATAGCCTCCACAGTAGTTTAAAGCAGAATGAAGTGGAGGAGTCCATGGAGGTTTGTGCATTGTTAGACTGTTGTGTAGAATTTGCATGCATCATATGCAAATTCCGTCTCTTCTTGTAGAACCACGGTGCACAAGCTGCCTAAAGCACAATTCTCTTCATGTCTCTAGGTTCTGCCTGCCCATTGAGTTCAGGTAGCATCCGAACCCTTTGTCCTAGCAGTCAAGACCATTGTCTTCCTCCTACACCATGAGGGTCTGGTCTTCAGGAAACCTGGTCTACTAATATGTTGGCATTGTCACAATCTTTTAATTTGAGCAGGACCCCTAAACATCTAGAGGTGGTTGCTACTGCTAATTTTCAAATCAACGTTGTTAAAGTGTAAATTACATGGCCCAATCATCTATGTGTTTCAAGAACTACCTGTTATTTTGAATCAGAAGAATAGAATGTGGGTTGAATGTGGACTCAGTTAACCTCAGCCTCAGGGTTTTAGACTGGAACTTGGCTCTATGAAGTTGTATTCCCCCATAACTCCTGGCTCAGCAGCTGGCACCAGCACATTGTAACTATTTCACTGAATGAATGAATGAATAAAGATAGTCCAGCCCAGTGGTTAAGGCCATCACCTTTGGAGCTGTAAATATGTGGGACTATGGCTTTGAGCAAGTCATTTTACTTGCTAAGCCTCAGTTTCCTCATCTGTAAAACGGAGGTAATAGTGGTACCTAAATCATGAGATTATCACAGGACTGAATGCTATGATGTGAGTAAAGCACCTATTATTGAGCTTGGCACAAATTTAGTGCTCAAAACAGGGATGCCTATTGGTGTTATTATAAATAAGGGTAGGATGCATGCAAATTCTGCACAACATTGGGCATATCACACTGGCTTGAACTTGACCTAAGGCTAAAGCTTTCATACACAAGTCATGTATATTTGGTCAATCAGGAACTAAAACATGAAGCACTAGATGAGAGACAAAGAAACTACCTCTGTTTGCCTTGTGGGGAAAGCTTCTGCCTGGAAACCCAGGGACTTGGGTTTTAAGTCCTGTCCAGCCCAGACTTACCTCATGATTTGGGAGTGTTTCCTTTCTTTGGGCGTCAATCTTCCCATAAGAAGGTTTTGTTTGGGTCAGATAATGACACTGGGTCAGGCCAGATTCATCAGGTTAGCTGTCTTTTCATTTCCATCATCCTGTTGGCCTTTACAGTATTTTAGAGCAATTTGAACTGGTTGCCAACATATAAAAATTGAGAGCTTTCACATAAAATTTTCTATTTCCAGATTCTCTTAAAAATGGGAAAGTATGGCAATGTAGGACCAGCTCTCCCACAGGGCAACAGTGGGCTGGAGCTGCACAGCAACTTTCCCCTTCAGATGGGGAATGGTGTTCTGGTTTGCCACAGTCCCCACTGCTCTGTTACCTCCACCTTGAGGCCTAAAGGCAGTTGCCCCTTATTGTCATACCTGTGCTATTGTTTTTCCCATGTAGAGTTAAAAGGAAATTAATATATTTATTGTCTTTCTGAAACATGGAATAATGAAAATGTGTGGAGAAAAATTACCTAGTATCTGAAAATACGATGTGGTGATTAAGTGACTTGTTAATATGCTGGAAAATTTCTTTTTTGAAAGTATATTTTTATTTATTTCAGAGAAGAAGGGAGAGAGAGAGGAACATCGATGAGAAACATCAATTGGCTGTCTCCTGCACACTCCCTACTGAGGGTCAAGTCCGCATGTGACCTGATGGGGAATTGAACCAGCAACTTCTGGGTGTATGGGTCAACGCTCAACCAGTGGGCCACACCAGCTGGACGAGGCTGATGATTTTTGACAAATGTATACATTCATGTAACAACCACCTCAATCAAGAACATGACAACTATATTTTTAACAATTGGAGAACTGTTATTTTAGGCTACAGAGAAAGGGCCCTGAGTTTTCAGAAAAGTGATTGAATATTTATTTATGGGCAAGAGAAATATTCTTCCACGTCAATGGTGAAAGAAGGGACACAACCTCCCTGCCCAGGTTACTTATTCGGTTGGAGTGTTGTCTTGTGCACCGTAAGGTTGAGGGTTCGATTCCCAGTCAGGAGCACGTTTCTCTCCTGCCCCCTTCCTTTCTCTCTAAAATCAGTAAGCATATCCTTGGGTGAGGATCAAAAAAAGAAAAGAAATAAGGGATACAACTAATATGGTCAGGAAAAAGCTTGCTACTTCACTGTTCTTCTCCTATCTAGTGGACTCCTATTCCAGAAGATCCTTAAGGATGCTTCTAGTGCTGATTTATAAAGACTGAGCTACTGCTCTCCCAGGGCCCACACATTATTGCAGTAAAGGAAGGTAGAGAGGGGCTTGTGAGATAGATCATGCTCAGGAGAGTGAAACAAATGGGACAGTAAGTGAACTACAAACACAAGTTTCTTGGGAACTGAAGCTTGAAATGAACCCAGCTGAAGAGCCCAGGCCGACTGTAAAATATAACTAATGGCTTCTCTGAGTCAGAGAAGTTCCTGCCTCAAATCCCAGGCAAGAGATGAAGAGAATCAGGGCAGTTTTTCAGCTGCTAAATTCTTTCAACAACTCCCCCAGGTAAAATTCCAAGGGCTTTGGTCTGTCTGTTGGAAGTTTCTTTCCCTTTGAAGTACTGTGTTTCCATTAGCAAGGGACCCTTGCAAAATCGCCCTGTTTTCAGAAACATCATAGCCTATAATGGAGTTCCAGCTGTTTTCAGATCAAAGTTGCATTTCTAAGCAGACTTCATGTGCTGCCAAGAAATGGCCTGTTTGAACTCAAAGCAATTCTGCAAATACAGATTGAAAATTAGAAGCAGGAGAGTGAGGTAGCTATTACAATACAAGTGAGATGATGGAGGCTGGGACAAGAATGTTAGCGACACGGTGGTGAGAACTGAGCCTGGGAAGATTTTGAAGATAGAACCGACAAAATGCAGATGCATCAAATGTGTGGTGTAGAGAGTCAAGTCAAGGGTGGTTCTGCAGGCTTTGGCTTGAGCAACTAAAAAAATGAAGTTGTCCTTAACTAAGATGGGGGGAACTGTGGGAGGGGAGGAACAAGGTTGGGGCAGAATATCAAAAGCTCAGTTTGGACATGTTAAGTTTGAGGTGCCAATACTTCCAGATACTCACTTGGGCCATGAGCCCACTGCAGGGGTAGGTCCAGGATGGAAATATGTGGGGGGTCAACAGCACATGGATGATATTTAAACCTAGCGGATTGGATAAGCCACCCTAGGAGTGAAGGTAGATCAATCAAGAGGAGACCAACCCCAGAATGAAGGGGCAGTCTACTATTTAGTGATTAGTGGGGGACGTGCAGGGGGCAGCTGATGGATGTTTCTCTTTCACCATTGATGTTTCTATCTCTCTCTCCTTCTCCTTTCCTCTCTGAAACCAATACAAATTATATATATACTAGAGGCCTGGTGCACGAAGTTTGTGCAAGGGTAGGATCCCTCGGCCTGGCCAGCGATCAGGGCTCATTGGGGCTTTCTGGCTGCCGGCCAGGGCCTCCCTTCCCTGGCTGCTGGCCGGGGCCTTCCTTCGTTCCGTGCGAATAAAAATTATACCTATTTTTGTCAGATCAGCAAAAAATATATTTTTTGGTGCTCGACAGAATTTTAATAATTAGTTTGGTGCCATGAGATGAAAAAGGTTGAAAATTGCTGCTCTAGTATGTTAGGCCTATTTTTTTTTATTGATAATTTAGAAAAACTCTGACTTCACAATTCCTTTTTAGTAATGTCGTGAACATTTTGAGAATTGTCAGAGTTGGTACAACCCTATCAAATTTTTGTCTTAGATGAACTGCAAGTTTCCAGGTAATCTCAAGCTTTCCAGTGCCCTGATTAACCTTAAGCATTCCTTTCATTGAGGACCCTCAGTGATCACAGTGGATGGTAGGTATATCTTACATATGAACACTAGCAATAACTTAACTGTACTCATAAATGTATTCTACTAAACTGAAATGTGTCCAATTGGATTTCCTCTAGCTGGATCTCAAATGCCACTAAGCACAAAGGAAAGTGTTACAGGGGGAATCCAGTAGAGAGAGCAGTTTTAAGATTGCAGTAAAAATATTATTTTTGCAAATTTTACAAAAACATTGGGTAATGAGAGAAAATTGCTGGGAATCCTCCTTGAGCCGTGGCAGAGTCCTGGGGAACTGAGGGAACCCTAAAGCTTGAGCTTTAGTTCCATGATGGTACCATCTTTTGGTGATAGTGCAAAGAGGGAACGCAAAACCAAACCCTGGCGCAGGGAGTTGGGCCATGGTGCTATAATCCTATATAATAAAAGGCTAATACAGTAAGTCCTTGGGTTACTTCGGAGATCCGTTCCTATGATGTAACGCAATTTTCGTGGTAAGTGGGAACCCACCTACATAAGCACCTACGTCACTCACATGGAGCACATACACAGCAGTAATGAAGTGA